GCGTTCATAGTATCAAACAAGGGCTCATGCATCCTGCAATTTCTCCTACATTCTCATCAAATCGACAATGTGTTCCTCAAAATTGTCGACAAAAATCTCGTATCTCTTTCATCGAAAAAGAAAGTTTTCATCAAAAAGAAATTATTCGTCAAAATCGTCGACGAAACTAATAAGTTCTAGGATTATAATGAGACTCAAAATGAAAAAGATGAGTTTTTTTACCGTTTGAAATCGCCGCCGCTGGAGCTCGCCATCGCCGGTCGAGGGTGGTGGCCGACGCAGAGAGGAGGATGAGGAGATTAGGGTTAGGGCTCTTCAAACCAAACCCTAAAACCCCCTTCGGGCCCTTTTTCATCTCTTTCGAGTTCTAACCGGGTCAACGGATCTAAGCGGATCGGGCTTGAAATTGAGATCCGGACCGCTAAGCTTTGTTTCCGCATGTTATTTAGGGCTTGTTTGGATTGAGGAGAATGGGGGTGAAGGTAAGTTAGGGGAACCATTCACCTCCATTTACCTTGTTTGGGAACACTTAGGAGGTGAAGTTAATTCACCCTAGTTCCCCTTGGTTCACCCTCTAATACTATAAAATTTGTTACCCCCCTAATTGGTGTGTAACCAAGGGGAAGTGAACTCCCTTCCCTTCTCTTCCCTTCCCTTCTCTCAGTTTCCCTTAACTTCCCTTCACCCCCTACAAATCCAAACAGGCCCTTAGGGTTTTTTCTTGGAAGCCACCTTAACATTAGGGAAATTATACTCATACCACCTTCACTTTCTAATTTATATGTAAACCACTTTATAATTTTACTTTTGTTTCAATCAACCACCTGGACCCATATATCTAGATTTAAACCCGAATCTACCCTTACAATACTCACGTGATTTGCACGTGACCACCATTCTAACCCACCTTTAACTACACCCTTAACCTGTTGACTAACCATTGACCCATTGACCAAACACTAACCCAAAACCAACCGTCAATTCTTAGGGGTTGTTTGGTACATTTCTGGAAAAAAAGAAAAACAGAAATATAGAATGAAAACCATTTCTTGACATTTCAGTGGGGTTTCCCCGATTTGACTTTTTTGTTTGTTTCACAGTGAAATTAATGGATTGAAAACAAAGTTTCAATTTCCACATGTTTGTTTGAACACTATGAAACCAAGAAACCGTAGGCCTTTTTTACATTTCTTCATCTTCCAATGTTTGACATGCACCTGTGAGAAAATGAGAAACCATGTATAATAGCACCACGGTGAGCTTACAGCTCACAAAGTCATAGCAAGCTGCCAACGGTAATATTTGAGCAACGGGCAAAAAATTCAAGTTCGTCACAGTGACCTGAGCCTGGGCATTCATCACAGTAACCATGGGTGCACATATATAGTTGTGATATGATGAATTTGCATTTGCAACAAAAGTCAATTCCCACTCCAACTTACACCCTCGTCAAATTGCAGCAGCCTGAGCAAATAAATTCCCAAAGGACCTTCTTCTCAAGCAAAGCTGAGCCATGGCTGCATCCCAAAAACTCTCAGAATAAAGCTCCAGAGGTAACTTGCTTTTGTAAAATACCGACACCATTAAAGCTGTGCAAAAGTGGATCGAATAAGAGCAAATACTTTTGGGGCTGTGCCAAATACCCAAATAGGCAATGCAAAATTTTTAGGTGGCCGAAGATGAGCATAAAATCAAAAATAGTAAAAAGCAAAAAAAGATGAATCCTTCTTCAAGCAGTTTCAGAAATAAAAGATATGGAAACAAAGCATTTGCGAAGAGAATTGAAGTACGCAAATCAACAAGTCGATTACTTGAAGAAATGTCTTGTTGTCTTAGGGATATTTAGTATGTTTCTTGTTGTCATAAACATTGTTATCTGCACTTCGAAAATAATAATGCATAATTCTCTTCAGAAGTCTGGGACTCATGTGCCATGTCTGAGTACATTTCTCAAGTGATGAAATTGAGAAAACGATGAGATGCAAATGTGCTCTTGTATATTATATGTATATGAAATAAACAATTATTAAGTATATGTCAGTACATTTACTCACATGTATATGTCAGTACATCCAAGCAAACCCATATAGCATATACCCCCGGTTATTGAGACATAAAAGCGAAAAACTCAAAGTCTTGTGACAACTGTAAGAAACAAGAGCTAAGTATCTAAAATCAGACATCAAAGCAAACCCATATTGTCCCAGTTTTTGAGACATGGATGCATGATAATTTAGGACCAAGAATTCAACAGTGAAAGCATGATAATCCAGTGGTGAGAATGATAAACAAATGTGCTCAGGTATAGGTCTACATCATCATATATTCATCACCAGCAAACGATTGCATCGCAATGTTGGCATCTTAAATAGTGGCTTGTATCGATATGCCCCTTAATTGTCAATATTAAGTATTTGAAATTTGGAAAAGGGACGTTATGGTTTGTTTTTTTTTTTTGATTGAAAATTTTAGGGCTTTTCTATTGGACTCAATTAGTGGTAACTCTGGTGGTTAAATTCGATCAAATTGACACTCATTTGGATATTTTATGATTTTGTACTTCGATTGCATTATTTTAAAAAAAATTAATGTGACTATATATGTTGTTTAATTTTTGGCAAATTAACGTTAAAGTTTTCAATTTTGAATAGTTTATGTTGTTTTAAAGTGCCATTGACATGCATGTATCCTACGGCGTTGCAAATGCTTTAAGAATCTTATATATCTGTAATGTAACTTCGTGTAGGATGGATTACGTTTTCACGATTGAGTATCATCATGGTGGCAGGTTTGAAAGGGAGAGAGGTGACCTTAAGTATGTGGGGGAATCTGTTCATAGAATACATGATCACAGTATTTTTAGCTTTAAAAATTGTCAATGATGCCAATGTGACTGAAGGGATAGTAGATGTTGAGGTGCAAGATGAGTGTGCAAATGAAGAAATAACAGATAATTCAGATTTTGAGCTTTCTGACACTGATTATGATGATGGTGCTGGTAATGATGTTTTTTTTTATCATGCCAATGTTGATTTGGATGAAACTATTGCAGCTCAGAGTGCTCCAACACAGACAGCTAGTAGTGCAAGGGCAGAGGATGTTGAAGATGTGGAGTATAATCCTGATGGTGAGGCATATCCAAATCTTGTGTTTAATAGTGAAACTAAGACTTAAACAAACCGATTGAATTAAAATTGGGACTGATGTTTGCGAACAATGATGTACTTAGGAAAGCTTTATGCAGTACAACAAGGGCATGACTTCTACTATTTGCACAATGGTAGAAATAGAATTTCAATTTACTGTAAGTATAGGTGTAAATGTGAGGATAACTTCAAGCGCGGGAGGAAATTAAAGTGCAAGAATAATTGTGAAGATCTATGCAGATTCAAAGTTCATGCGGCGAAGATGACAGGTGAAGCCACTTTCCAAATTAAGTCATTGAGGCTAAGACGTGACAATTGTGGGGGGTGCAAAATTAAAGTATCTATAGTCTCTTCTGCTTGGTTAGCACAAAAAAAAATCATGTGATGTGGAGGGATGATCCACAATGGAAAATAAATATGGTTTCGTTGAGCAAGTGCATATGCAATGGTTGAGATGGAGAACAAAGATACATGGTGTTGGTTTCTTCACTGTTTGATAAATGATCTTGGTCTTATTGAGTCTAATGGGTGGGCTTTTATGTCAGATAGACAAAAGGTATATTTCAAAAGTTGTTCTTTACTTATTTTTTTTCACTTTTAATTTCACATGTTATAGATTTTCTTTGCTAAGTTATTTATGTGTAGGGGTTGATTGAGGCACTGAGCATTGTGGTACCAACTGCAGAAGTAAGATTTTGCTGTAGGCATATTCATGCTATGTGAAAAGCTTGTAGGGCTTCGACAAGAATCCGTTTTGATGTTGCAAAGAAAGAGATGAAAGAATTGGATGAGGATGCATATGCATACCGCATGGCTGAAAATCCATGCCACTGGATTATACATGCTTTTAGGACATGCACTAAGTCTGGTTGCCTCATCAACAATACGTGTGAATCAATTAATAAAATGATTCTAGAAGCAAGGGACAAGCTAATACTTACATCAATGGAGTTCATCAGAAGGCTTCTTATGAAGAGAATTGTTTTGAAACAAGGAGGCATTGCAAAGCATGAGGGGGTGTTGACGCCAAAGGCAGAACACAAACTTGAGCTACTGAAAAAAGCAATAAGCACTGTAAAACTGAGTATGGTGGTGATAATAAGCTTGAAGTTAACTATGACGATATTGTAAAAATAAGAAGAGGGAAGCTAGTGAGCAGGCAGCAGCTTCATTGAGAGTCAAAAGAAGAAAACATCATAACAAATGCAAAAATTATGGGAAACTTGGTCATGATATTGTAAAAATGAACAGATTAGTAGAGCTCCACTAGGAAAAGGGGGAAGAACAAAGAAGGTTGGAGCAACTTTTGCTGCCAATAAAGGGAGAAGAGCTGTAAGTACTCTTTCAAGTTGAAATTTCAAAATTTCAGTTGAGGATGCTTCTAGCTTTTGAAAGTTTGAATATTTTTTTTGTACAGGGAAGCCAAAGGAAGGGTGTAGGTGGAAGAAATGAAGGCACTAGTGGTACTGCTGCAAGTTCACATGTGAGTTACATTTTGCTTTTTTATATACAAACCACCTTACATATTTAGTACTTAGATAGAAACCATCTTACAATTAATATAGTTACCTACAAAGAAACCACCTAGAATTTATATATTTTGGGCTAAATACCCATATTGGTATTTTATTTCAACCCCATTTGTCAAGAAGGTATTTTAATTAGGAAATTTGGTGTTAAGGTATTTTAATTAAATAAAATTACCAATTAGGTCCTTTTTCTCGTCGGCGACCACTTTTCCGGCGAGAACTCGTCACGTGCGTTGCACGCGGTGGCTTAATCTTTGTTTAAGCTGCTGATGTGGCACTATTTTCTGACCAACGCGGATCTGAGCTGGGACTCGGGGTGAACTCGGCGACGGCGGGGAGTTCTTTAGGGCGGGCTGAGCTTGAAAGGAAAGAGGGGTAGCAGAGCTTGGAGCGGCGGCGTAGCGTCTGTGGTCTCCGACGGGGAAGAGAGGACGGCGACGACTGGCGGTGGTAGGAGGTGGTCGGGTCTCAAGTTGAGGGCGAAGGGAAGCTCGGAGTTGGGCTGGTCGGCGAGAACTTGAGCAGCAGCAAGTTCGGCGTGGGGAAGCTCGACAGAGAGAGGAAGAGGGAAGGTCTGGGGGATGAAGGCGGGGAGTGGAGGGAAGAGGAGGAGATGGAGGTGTTGAAGTCGGGCTCACCGTGGACAGAAGGGGAATAGGGTTGCTGTCGTCAGAGCTCGGTGATGGTGAAGGAGGCAGCGGGACAAGGGAGAGTGGCGAGGTGGAGGGGCTGGCCTGAGATGGTCGTGGGGCTGGTCTGCAAGCATGGAAGGGGGATGGGGTGGAGGCGGTGATGGCGGGTGTGGGGCTCGTCGGGGTTGACGACGAGGGAGAGAGGCGCTGGCTGTTGGAGACGAGAAGGAAGGCAGCGGCGGTTGGATCTGGAGCTTGGTGACGGAGCTTGGGTGGCTGGGGCAGAGGGGGTCGGCGTTCAGGGGTTAATTCCCTGCCACGTCAGAAAACAGTGCCACATCAGCAGCTTAAACAAAGATTAAGCCACCGCGTGCAACGCACGTGACGAGTTCTCGCCGGAAAAGTAGTCGCCTACGAGAAAAAGGACCTAATTGGTAATTTTATTCAATTAAAATGTCTTAACGCCGAATTTCCTAATTAAAATACCTTCTTGGCAAATGGGGTTGAAATAAAATACCAATATGGGTATTTAGCCATATATTTTGTAATATACACAGTTAATTGTGCATGATTTTCTATGTTAATTGCAGCCATCGTCACTATGTCAAAAAATTTTGTGTTAATTGCAGGCACAAGCAACTTATGCTGATGTAGCCTCAACACCAATTCCCACAAATACAACCCCGTGTGTTCTAACACAATCAACACCCACAGCTCCATGTCCATCAACTCAAGTGAGCTACACAGAAGTAGCACGAAATCAGCCAAATAGAAGGGTATTCAATATACCAAGAACAGTTGATATAGAAGCAATGTGGCTTACACCATGGGACAGCTAAGAGATGCAGCAGCAAGCCAAAGGGCAAAAACAACAATCAAAGCCATTATGGAAACCATGATCTTGATCATGAAGATGAATTTCACATTTTGTGTCTTGAAACAATGAACTTGACAAGTATTTTGCGGGTTGTTTTGTGAATATGTAACGCTATCTAATGGGATATTCTGAAACAATATGATTGATTAGTATTTTGTTGGTTATTTTGTGAATATGTAATGCACAAAATACTATGAATTATTAGTATTTTGTTGGTTATTTTGTGAATTTGTTGGTTATTCTGAAACATATTCATTTTGTGAATACGTAATGCTCTCTAGTAAAGAATGTATTCCATAAATTATATGTGGTGTTCATGAATTTTGGCATATGGTTATGGATCATACCAACATTAACAGTTCATAAAGTGGTTCCTTGTAAAATTGCATGATCTCAATTGCATTTCATTTCATAAATGAGAACTACTTTGATAGCATTGAAAGACAAGTTCTTCACAAACATAGATATCATTGAATTCTGATTCTCAATGATCACAAAATCTTACAGACACAGAAAAATCACAACTACTAATATTACACACAACGTTGGCAAACTACAACATAGGCCTTGCTCATTCTTCGCATCTCCTTCTTCATTTGCAAAATTTCATCCTTGAAGTAATTTACTATCAAAAGAGGAGAATATTGTTAGATATCAAGACCAAAAAGAGGAGAATTTTTAGATCAATGCACTATCATTAAAATCTTCATATTCTGCGTTGATCTAAGGGCTCTCGTCCCCAAAATCATTAGGCGTCCAGGAGATTTGACTCCATTAGATACTCTCTTTTTCAATATTGAGTTTTCATACGATGAAATAAACTTTAAGATTGTTAAGAGCTACTCATATTCAAATCCTATCATACACGTTTAAAATAGTTTTTAGAAGAAAAAAAAAATATTGGTGCATAAAATAACTCATATTTCAGTTTATTAAAGGCTGCTCAACCAATGGTCTTATCTTCACTTCTTGAGTTTTGATGCAAATATATTAGTAGCAGTAATTTTGTGTAGAGGACATCAATCTCCTCTCTTTTTCAACGAGGAAGAGTTTGTGTTCATCCAACTCTCTCCGGCCTTGAACATATTTTGTGCGGTTCGGAATTCTTTTCCCTTTTCTTTTTCTTTTTTCCTCTGCAGTTAACTGGAGAGTTTACCTCGTTCTGGAAAGAAACTTATACCACGTGGTTGCGTGTTTTATTTAACTATAAGCAATTTTATTGGATTTCTGAAAATTCATTTTTTTTTTATAAGGAAAAAGGAAGGAGTCTCATAAATGAGATCAGCACCAGCAGAAAATAAGATATTTCTATCTAAAGTAATTTTCATTTTGTAAAGTGTTAATTTATTATAGTTAGGAGATATTTCCAGAGTCAAATAAACAACAGAGTCAAATTCTTCTGCCATGGAAATCCATCCACAGCTGCTGAGCTGCATGATA